GTTCACATCAGAAGTATCTTTTTCCCCCTGTGGATGGCGTCATCTGTATTCATACGTCAGATCTGATCACGTAATTTTCATTTGTGCCATTTCCTTTCAAGTAACAGCCACATGCCTTAAGATAAATTCAGATTCTTCTCTCTTCGGTAGACCGTACAGAGCAATTATCCCATCTCACAATAATCTATAATCCTGCATCCTCATTGGTGGGGGGCCGAATGCTCCACTTTTACTTTCTTAACCCCACATAAAACACACTCCCTGATTTTAACTCCCACTTCGAGAACTTTGCACACCACAGTCATGGGAAGATAACACACATTGGGGAAAAGCAGCAGAAACCAACACAACACCTTACGATAGAAACTAGCCACAACAATGCAGACATTTTGACTCAGTAGGCCTCCTTTAATGACGGACCCACACAGCAGTATGGGAGGAGGAAATTTAAAAAAAAAACAAGGGAAATAGAGAAGCTCACAGACTTCATAATCAGTTGTATACTGACGTCAGGCAGCTGGGTAATTTTAAAGCCAAGCTTACGCTGGACATTCGAGTCTCTGCAACCCGTTTAAGATATAATAATTCTGTGTAATTCTTGTGTTTCAGTCTCCCCTAATATTGAACAAGTATTTAAGAGCCTAAGAACAACTGAGTGATTATGTAGCCTGGGCGATATTTGAAAAGGACGACATTTTAGAGTTGAAAAACCCTTAATCAAGATCACAGCTTATCGCCGCCAACTTTAAAGTCAGACCAAGGACCCACAAAGTGTAAAAAGTTGCTGAAGAACTTTACAAAAAGAGTACCATCCACACTAATAACAGCTGAGCAACAGTAACACATCCCTCCTCTCTGCGCTATCAAGGCTGAAGACTTTTTCTCATTCTTTTTCAGGATGATTCACAAAAGAATACATTGAATGCATATTTTTAAAGTGTTTAGCTGATCAATGAAACATCAAACCATATTGTTTCTGTATGTACAGCCCTTCATAAAGTTGCTCTTTGGGAGCTAAACAGTGTGTGGATCTTTCTCTTTTTTTCTGCAGTGTATACTTGTTTTGTCCTTGCACCTGTATGAAGTTTGCTTGGATGTGCGCCTAGTCTTTTTTTACGGTATTTCAGAGGAAATTTTGTAAATACGTCCTGATGGTTCAGCCAATGAAAAGCAAAGATTGATAATATAAAGTAAGAAGTCCCAGTCAAAGACTATACTCACGCTGTAGTGCTGTCGCCAAGTTCAAATTGAGTTTAATAATGCCCATTCAGATTGCAGCAAATCAAAGAGCCATTTTCGCCTTACTTTTATTGTCAGTTCAGCCATCTCTGTAGTTAAAGGCAACGATTTAAGTATCCAATTTATTATTCATGTCTTAAAGAAAACCCCACCTCTTTCATTTAATGTATTTCCATTTCAGTGTTTTAACATTTCGCTATTTTATGCTTGGCGTTTCATTTTTACTGTGATTTCCTCTCCTCTGCTGCAGGCTCTACATGCTCAGGTTTACTGCTGCTGCTGCTGATTGAAGCAGCCAGCAGGGTGGACAAGTCAGGAATGGAAAGACATTAAACACCTTCAGAAACATGTTCGTTGATTGGATGCTGGTGACTCTGGTAGAGGTCAGGTAATCTAATACCTCTGTTCTGGTTCAGATATTCTATTGCACTGAAGGCATCTTCATCGACACAGACACACAGACACACAGACACACAGACACACAGACACACGCACGCACGCGCGCGCACACGCGCACACGCACACACACGCACACACCAGCCCTGTAATTAAACTGGGTAATGGTAACAGTGCGCGTTACGTCACATTAACGGAAACATTCTCCTGTCCTGTGTCCCACAGATAATGAATACATGTTTGAGAGAGAAACACAATTAAATGAAACGATGAGTCAGTGAATACATTAGTAGTATCATTAAAAATCAATTTTATATGTTGTTTAACCAAGAGAAAGTCATATTTGATTTGGCTCTGAGTGCAGCTTTTCAAATGCAAAGATTTGTTGTTGTTCTGAGCATTTTAAATCTAATGCTAATAGATTTCATTGTAGGAAAAAAAAATGTTAAAATGTTATGAATGAAATTCATTCTTTGCTAATAATAAATGTTGAAGGTTTAAGTGACAGTAAAATAATATTTAGTAGTAATTAATTGAATCATCCTCGAGGTGGGTGACACTGGTTCAGATCCGACATGCGGCTCCTTTCCTGCATGTCCTCTCTCTCTATCTCCCTATTTTCTGACTCTATCCCCTTTCCTCTCAATAAAGATATACAACTGTACAACTACACAAGAACAATTAAGAAGTTGCAACTCACTTAGTGAACACAGTTCGTAATATTTTAATTTAAAAAAAGAAAATGAAATGGTGTATTCAAAAGGTCCAATTCAATTTTCTGTTCTAAAAAGGAAAGACAAACATGTAACATAAAACATGACACCGTTCATGAACTTTTTTTCTTCGTTTACGTTTGTCAACAACAAAAACAACATGCTGGTGTCTATCCAAACAAAACATGTCCACACAACATTTGGTGAGTTTCACTGTGTGCTCCTTGAATCCGGATGAGCCGGTTCTGATACGCTGCTTAGTCATTTTACCATCAGTTTGAGCACTTTGTGAGCTTGTTCTTGAACCTCTGAGCTCATTTACTCAACACTTCCTCTGATGATCATTTTTGCACACTTAGTGGCAGAAACATCATATACCCAGCGTTTCAACAGCAACATCATTAGTTAACTGTATTGACTCCAATATGCACACTCAACCTATTTCGTTGGCCGTGTATTCCTAAAGCTGATCAAATGCTACTTCTGCAAGTGATTGCTTTGTTGCAAAGCAAGAGGGAGAGAAAAGAGAAGTAAACAGGAAAAAAAAACACACAAAAAAAACGCAGCGAGCAGAGTAATACGAGAGGAGGGCGAACAAAGAGAGAGAGGTAAAGAATCAAATGTGGGGTAGAGGCAACAATCTAAGAAGGCCTCTGGGGTTTGCGTCTGCTTTACACTCCAGCAGCGTCTCTGCTCGCTCTGAATGCTCATCCCAAGAGATCGCCCAAACGCGGCTATTACGCACATATAGCAGGTCACTCACGCTGCTTCTTCAACACCAAAGTTTCCCCATTAATTCCTATTACTCTCTTAAACTCACCCACCAAAGTCTGTGAGCTTCAAGGGGAACTTTCAGAGAACAACAGCCTTCCAACAGACGTCAGAGAGTAACGCAAGCTCAAAATGAACTAGGCTGAGATAACTTCTGCTTTTTTTTTCTTGGAAGAAGACGTTCCTGCTGAATTAACTACTTAAAACTACAGACACTTCCTTTAATGAAAGTTTTCTTTAAAATGAAATTCTTTAATATGCTCACTGAAAACATCTGAAACAAGTGGAGTGATTCAGCAGACTGCAGGGCAAGTTAAGAACTGCTCACAAACGGCACACAAATTAATATTTCACTTCCTCCCATTCCTTCTAAGACATTCACAAAGACCAATCCCACACTGAGAGCCAAAATGGAGAATGATTACCCAATTTATTCACATTACTCTGTAGAAATTAAGTGAAATCTTTTTTTTTTTGGGGGGGGGGCTGAGTGGTCTGCACAAGTCAAGGCCATAAGTTGGGTCAACCCATATCAAAAAAAAAAGAGTCTGGATCAATTTTACATTTCTCGTGCATGTGAATAGGTGTGTGTGTGTAAAGCCTTTCTAGCACACACTCACTGTTAATGCCCCCTAATCACATAGATTGACACCGACCTAATAAAACAAATCTCAAGAGGCTTCTTGATTAATGAAGGTTACACAGATGAAATTAAAAAACATAATAGTCAATATTCAGCACAAACTCTCGCTTTCAATCCAATTGCTCACCTCCGTAAAAAAGGTAACAAAGCAAACAACAGAAATAATTCAGCAAAGACAAAAGGATTCTAAAAATGAAATGGGGGTATGTTCTCTTGCATCGTCATCATTAATACATTCAGTGGTTGACAGTGAGAAACAACTTGAGCCTAAGCAGAGGCAAAAAAAAAAAAAAGGAAACGAAAATGCTACTGAGCCAGAGAGGAAAAACAATCAACCTCCAATCACAGCCATCATCTTGTTTACAGTCATGATCCATTTAACCTATTAGCTCTCAGCTGTGCTTCACAATTACAAACAGTGCAATAATCGCACGGGGACAACCAGACAGAACACATTGGAGTGAGGCATTAATCAGCCAGAAATGGCAAATTCTTCTCTTTTTGCTGCAGTTTAAGGGAAGTCTAAAAAAAAACCCACAGATGTTCCTGCTCATCAGAAACTTCTGAACGCTGCTTTTAAAAATAGGACATTACCACTATGCTCTGGGATTTATTTTTGGGCTGCGCACGAGCCAAAAGTGGGCTATGGATTACTCTTGTTTTTGATGATCAAGCACACGGCACTACAGTAGGAGGCGTCTTTTGAAACTCTCTGCAGCCTTTGAAGCCCCCCCCCCCCCCAAGTCTGTCCCAACGATGCAACTGTCTGCGCCCGTCTCCCCCTTGTGTTTTCCTTTTGCGTGAGGCTCTCTCCAGCTCCAAGCTAAGCACAGGCTAATGGGTGAGCAGTTTCTATGCACGGATCATATTTCATTAAGTCTTAGGCTTGATGACCTCGTCCTCCGGTGCATTTGGCAACTGGAGTTCATTGGACACATCAGGAAATCAACATTGCAGCACTGAAAATGCCGTGTCATAAAAAGCCGCTGACTTTGAACTCAGCTGCAGAGACTCAAATATTAGATCACAGCATCGTCTGTGGCCGTCAAGCTGTCACGGTCCACCCGTCTGCAAAAGACAGCCTAATAACCAGGGCGTCCATATCCACTCTGACAACTGTTAGACACTGACAAGAGTTAAGACAAGAAAATGAGTGTTGTGCCACCGTGCTGGAAACACTGTTGTACTTGCGGGACAAACATTGAGTATGTAATCACAAAAACAACATCTTACTGTACCCAAAGGACGCAGACTTCCATTTACGGCAGGGAACGACTCGTCTGTGGCCCGCAGACACCAATCTCCCGGGATTCTCTGGAACTTCCACAGGTAGAGAGGCATGTCTCCTACAGAAGGACAAACAGTGTTACAATAAAAACCCATTTTCAGACTGTTGGCATAGAGGGGGCAGGTGTCAAATAAAAATGTATGTCTTGTGTGAATATTCTGTATTAAAGTCAAAGTCAAGGATCCCCTAGAGGAATTTCTCTGGGGTGGGGGGGGGGGAGTGTATCTCAGTACTGTATCATATTTCTGTTTGATCACAAATAGAGCACAGCTGATGAAACTTACATTTAGTATCGTAACCATCCTCTAGTGTCTGCTAAGTTTAAATGGAATATTAAATCAAAGCATCCTCAATGAGAATTGTTTCAAAGTATGAAAAAAATCTCACACACACAAATAAAGATTCATTTATGTGTTCTTTGTCCCACTGCATTACATTCAACTCATAAGCAGTTGTTTCCTAAACTGTTAACAGCTTCTACGAAGACAATAAGGTGAAGTCTGTTCTGCAACCTTGCAAGGAGATATAACAATTTTTACATGACGTGTTGTATAGATGACACACCAGATAATGTTTAAAATTCAGCATGTTTGAAGTAGTGTCAGCAAATTAAAGTTAAATTCTAACCTTGAATACTTCAAATTAAGCATTTCTCTTTCACTTCCAACGATATTTACAGTACCAACCCTTTTATTATTTTAGTACTTGTGCAAGTCGGTGTGTGTGGTATAGCAGTTGTGACCTCTACTGATCACTGCTCCAACACTTCATCTGGGAACAGAGACAAATCTCGTTCATCTCTTGTTTGTGAAGGGTTTCACAGAGCACTGCCAACTCTGGGCTGGTTGTCTCAGACAATCTGGGACATTTCTTAGGCTGACACCTAACACATGTCGTCTCTCTCGGGGGGATATGGTCTTCATATACAAAGAGTAACATCTGGCTCGGTCACAAAAAGCCAAAACACAACCAGTAAAACACAACCAACATCCAAAAAAGCATTTAGTAAGAATTGAATCCCTCCAAAGAGTTGCAGATGTGCACACTGATGCTATGTGTGAATAATCCTCTGAGTAATCTCGATGGCTAATTGAGTCATGGCTGCTGCCATTTGCTTCTGTTTCGGCATTATGAATTATTAATCTAAAAATGCTAATGTCTCTGCTCAGGCTGAGTTTGGAGCTGTGAACCATTGCAATATTCTGAATTGTTCTTCCTTTGCTCACCAGTTAGAAACTCTGAAAACTCTGCAGTCTAACATGTAGATCTTGTTCAAGACCACTTTCCTTTCATTAACAATGTTCTACATACATGCTGTGTTTTCTTTCATTCCTGTGGAGAGAACTGTTTTCAGAACAGTGCCTGATTAAGAGCTGAAATCCACTTTGCAAACTAGAAAGGAGTCGGACTCACACAAGGGCAAAGACGGCAGCGGGCTCAGTTTCCTACAATATATCCAAGTAGAGCATCTAACTCCATGGCAACAAGGGACAGCTAGGGAGTCGAGGAAGACGATACGTTTGTGTGATCCCTGCAGAGAGAGCCTGCTGAGGGTGAGAGGCAGCACCAGAAACACAGCTCTGCCACCTCTCGTCCCTGCAGATAAATATAAGATCCAGCTGTCCTGACATGTTGTGTCGCTGTGCTGGGGTTACGACCGGCTCTTCTTTTCTTTTTTTTTTGGTTCGATTTCTGTTTGAATTAAGAACAGCTCAGTCCACACACATTGTTTGGTCTCCGAACAGTGTCCTGCCTGCAGATTTAAAACAGCTGCTGCATTACTATGTCAGTGAACGCTTCATTTGTAACGAGAAAAAGAAGCTGCAACAGTGCAGTGCCTTTGCTTCTATTTTAAAATGCAATGTTTTACACAAAATACGACAACTTTGCTATAATGAATCTTTAAATGAACTGGTAACACTTTGTTTACTGGTGTTGTTTTGACCTCCACAACAGCCCAGCAAAGCTCTTTTGTCTTCATTGTCTTCTCTACAATGAAGGGGAGGTTTATAATCCCTGTCTCTCTGTTTCTCCAAAATCCTCTGAGGAGAATTACAGGGGAATAAAAACCACAGACCCCGCAGAGGCTCTCCAGAATACCTCCAGTCACCCACCACTGAAATTCTCTGACAAGCTTTTTGGCCTTCATACACTAAACATGCTCATAAAGACAGACAGAATGTGCACCGCTCAGCAGCCTGTCTGTAGGACTGTTGGGTGATCATTATTTTTTCGTCATGAAAAGGATTTTTCATACCTGAATTTCCTTAATGACCAATACCAGACAGAACTAAAAAGAACTGCTCTACACTGTAGTACCCTGGATGTTAGAATAGCACTATCATGTTTGTGTTGCCTGGCAAAGATAATGTATGACAGGACACTTTCTTTTATTATGTAGTTTGACAGTCAGCCATATAGAAAAAGGACACAATAAACTCAATAAACGGCTGGAGAGACACTGGTTTCTAGCTGTGCATTGAATGTTTTTGCTCCTTTTGTTAACCAGTACAGTATGATTAGAGAGGACAAGGTCTCAGCAGATAATTCAGCTACCATTTAAATCTTAGGAACGACAACCAGTAAAGGAATCCTAACCTAACAACCAGAAGAAAGCCTACAAACAAGCTCAGATAATGTTAGCAGCAGCTCGGCCTGCAGCCCCCTCGGGATATCCCTCTACCAAAAGCATCGGAGAAACTCTCATTTCTAATCAACACTGCATGAATTAATGTAGCTCTGACTAACGTTACATTCTACAACTGTACCGTTGTTGTTTTCTTAAGAGACATCATAAGCAAATGGATATCAGTCATGTTTTGCTGCTCTGAAACTTACTGGTGGCAGGCAGCCCTAGTACATGTACGGTGGCAGAACAGCGCAGCTTTCTGTGTGGACTTATGTTCTGAAGTATCATAGAAGAAAGGATAATCAATGATAAAAGTTGATCTTATCCTGGGTTAATTAATTAAAGAATCAGATGGCTGCAAGGACTGGAAAGGATCTGATCTGATGTGCCCCCCACCAATTAGAGCATACATGGATGACGTGACACTGGTGACTATGACAGAGCCAAAGTACAAAAAGGTTACTTGAGACTTTGAATCAGAATCTTAATTGGTCTAAGATGACGATAAGGCCTCGGTAAATCTAGAAGCATCTCAGTGTCCAGGGGGATGAGAATTGAGAGGAAGTTTTTTTTTTTGCAAATGAGGAAGAAATTTCATCCATAAGGGAAAAGTCAGAGAAGAGCTTGGGTAGGTGGTATAATGTGGACATGACAGGTAACAGATAGAACAACTTTGGAAAGATGTGGCAGCAGGCATAGGAAGGATAGATACATGTGTTTAGGCGTTATCAATGTTTTTTTTTAAATACTGGTAAAAGTGTTAAAAAACCTAAAGAAACACATGTAAACGAGTATAAATATAAAGAGCACAAGTGGATTTTTTTTTTTTTTTACAAACTGTTCAGCAGCGCTCATCCTGCTCCTTCTTAGCTCTCATTGAGATAAAGGCTTTTGTCGTGTTCTAGTGTGGCTTTATGAATGACTGTGGTACCAAAGTGCAGCGAGGAGCAGGAGAACATCGATTCATCAGACGTTCAGTGAAGAACAATCAGACAGATAGAAGCAGGTCAGGGAGGCTGCTGAGCGCTGCCTGGCTATCTCAGCCGGGTTCTAATCACATCTGAATGAAGCCATCCATCGTGATTACAGAACAGCAGACCAATTAAACACCGCCAAGTTGTTACGCCTCTTTCATTAGCCGTACAGTGTGTATGAGAATAATCCTCCAATCAAATACAGGGCCAATCTCCTTCACTCCACGCACACACCAACACACACACACACTATTAAACACTCGAACCTCTTCTAATCAGTACGACGCAATCCACTGGGAGCAGACTTATTTATTGATAGCCTGTGCCAAGTTCACTGGCTTTTCTATTATTAATGTTAATGAAACCTACCAAGCCATGTAACACACTCAATTTTAAACAGCCAGGTTCACTTGTGTCATAGTGTGGTGCATTAACAGGCTGAGAGATGTAAGCGACTGTGAGTGTGCTGTGTGTTGGCAGCACAGAGCCAAATGCAACGTGGGACTGATGGAGGAAGTCAAAAGAAACAGTCACAGCCAATCAAATCCAGAGCTGTTTCATTGAAACGAGATCACACCGAATAACTACACTGAGATACGTATGATACATCCATGGGAAGTATGAGACAGATTAGCAAAAGAAGTGTTCAGTGAGGCTCTCCTGGTCTACTGTCCACATGGAGGAGTGTGATGGAGCTCAGTACTTACACTATGCGGAATTTATGCTTAACATGTTAGTCCTATACCAAGAAAATATCAATCAATGTTTAACTGTAAAGCGCCAATTCATTTTTTAAATTTAAGCCACTTTACAAAAGAGCAGGTAAAAGACCTAACGCTTTGTTTTATCATCTACAAAGAGGCAACATTATTCCACCATAAGAACAGTAGCCTACTAATCAACACTTAGCAAAGTCACAGGAAGGAGACAACTTCCTTTAAGAGGCAAAACCTCAAGCAGAACCAGATTCATGATGAACAGCCATCTGCTGAAACTGTGCTGGGCTTGGAAAATGAAGCTGCAATGTCATTAATATTGGTAGAAGTATGTGTAGTATTAACAAACAGCTAAGTATAATAAAAAATAAAAAAAAAACAATAAGTCTGATATTAGTGTTGGCAAATGCTTTGATGATGGAACAGGGAGGACAGATTATCTTCAATAGAGGTTAAAGTTGAGCAGCTCTAAGATAATAGATGTCCGGCTGATATTAATAGTTGCAGCTATTACAGCTACTGTCAAGTTTTGTAATTTGTATAATTCATTTGTGCAGCCTTTCCTTTCCGATAAATACATATCTTTCTTAGATCATATGACTGCCCAAACTGATAGAAAATATGTCTGATGAGATATTTCTTTAGTTGAACTGCTCTCAGGCTGTTCATTGATTTGAAGAGCTGAGCAGGAGTCACGTTTGCATCCAACACGTGTATGCAGCTGCCAACAAGTCACATGATCTTAAAACCGGCTGGCAGATCTGTACATGTTAAGACGAAATATTATAAAGAAGCAGCACAATAGAAGGCTTGGCATGCCAACACTTCACATTAATGAAGGGAGGAGCTGTGGCCAAAATTCACAACCAGGAACGGCATCCAGGATTCAGCTGAACATTTGTTCCAACAACATCAGGCATCATTCTTGTTGGGGGGGGGGGGGGGGGGGGAATTGTTTGCGTCAATGTTTTAACTACTTTGTTATTTAGATTCATCCATCAGTAGATGAAGGGGCTCTGAGATACGCAACAATAAACATGTTAACCACATATCTAAAGGACACTTCTGTCGGGACAGAGATACAGTGATGATATGATCAAAGATGACAGAAAGAAATATCAATTATTCTTAATCTTCTTTTTTTGCATGGTACTTAACACTATATCAGTTTCAGCCAAACTATAGAGCTGAAGTACAATTTCAAAATGTATTTTTTTTAAACGAGATCATGTTTTCTTTACATTTTTTCAGCTTTTTTTTATTCACCCATCTCAATGAGTGCTGAGATCTGTGGAGGAAGGCTGATGCCAGAGATGATGGAAGTGAAACAGAGGATCAGGTTACAGTATTTGTACCTCCAGGTAGATGTTTTTCACAGTAAACAAGGCATCCATTTTTATTATGCTGTCTAAATATTTACAGAGCTGTGTGCTTGAACCTGAAAAAACCTACCATGGTAAAAAAAAAACACCATATGATTATCCTTATTAAATATAGCTTGTTTATTATTCCAGATATATCACTCTTTTTTCAGAAGCACTTTGAACCCAAGGCAAAGATGTGTAACAGAAAATAATCTTAAACTTCTAAACTTTTGAATTAAATTCATTATTGCAGGCTGCATATATTTTTGTTTAAACTGTTCTACCAGGGCTTTTTCTTTTCTTTGGAACATTGTAGTCGGAGGGGATGCTTCTGAGTGGCAGACACACTTCACATGCACGTCTCCCGCTCTAACGGACACTTTTACTGTGAAAGTCTAAAGACAAAGACTGGCACACATCTCCCGGCTGTGCCCCTCTGGATTTGCTTGAAATTTGTAATGGGACATTTGGAGCAGAAGAAAAGCGGCTTGAAGAAGCCCAGACAGTCAAGCACTGTAGGAGAGAAACAGACATGGCCTGGAAAATTTTGACTAAAGCACAGGACAGGCTCCACTACGCTCAGCTCACCTAGAAACAGACGGGTCCTTAATACACAGAGGCAGAGGAAGAGGCTGTTTGGATCCCACAGTGAAGCATCCCTAAAGAGAGGAGCTGCAGATAAAGAGTGTGTTTACCGGCAAGAGAAGCCCATTTACTCTCTACATGTGAGCCATATTTCTAGACAGTGCTCACAGCAGTGATGGATTCACATTACAGTTTAAATCAGCCCACATCTTTACTCTGCAAAGACACCCCTACAAATCTCCAGCCACTAAAGTACAGCAAGCGAACAAGCCAACAACAGGGGAATGGGACTTTGTGCTGCACTTGACATAAAATCTCATCATTTTCTGCTCACTGTAATATCCACAAACATCATAAAGCACCATATCATGCCCGTCTCAATGCTTCAGACAGAGGCAAAAAACACTTATTCCGGCTATAGCTCCATGTTTCTGCTTTATACGTTATATACTGGAATAAACTTAAATCAAAAGACATACATAACATGTCTTCATGAAAGTGCCGGGTGAAGTGCCTTCAAAAGAAAGGAAGATTTAGAAGTGTGTAAAGAGAATATAGTGGGGGGGGGGGGGCAGGAAAATGTGCAGTGAAGGTTTGGAGTACATTGTTTTAAAGTTGTACAGTTGGACGTACCTGACCATCCTGTGAGAGTCAAAGTCAGCCCTGAAACACAGGAAAAAAAAAAAAGGTAGGTAGAAACAAGAGTGCTGCAGTGTGAAAGTAAAGCAGATAATGACATGCAGAGTCACAAAACGCCTCGCTGACCACCATCACTTGATTCAGCATTACAGCAGCCAGGTTTAGAGAACTGGCAGACAGGGTGGTGCTTTGACTAGATCAATCTGGCGTCCTAAGAAATGGTCACACTTTCAACTGCAGCTGCAACATGAGTGTAATATACCAGTGAGGTTGCTGAAAATGTCACATACTGTACGGCACTGTGGTGTCAATTAGAAATACAGCATAGTGTTTGAACTGCAGGACCCAAAGCTTTTAGTTTGTACTTCATGTTGAAGAACTGAATGGTAATTTTGAGGCGTTGTTGATTGTATAAAAGTTTATATCCCATAATAAAACAGAGTTAATAAAAATCAGGAAACATCCTGTGGTCTGAAACATTACTCTTGAAAATGCCTTTTTCTTAGACAACATCAAATTAAAATCACAGAGGTTTAATTACCAAAATTAATCTAAGTTCCCTTTTACTAATTCAGTTTTAGAGTCACAGACTGTATAAATCACACACTGCACTATGTAGAGCTTACACCATTTTGTAGTGTTGTGAAATTCTGAGTGAGCATCATCATGTACACACACAGTATATGTTGGAGTCATTGTGCACAATGCATTGTGAAAGTAGTGTACAAACAAGCGTCACGAACCAAGCAATAGCAGCTGAATTGCAGTTCAAAGCTTTGACGAGCAGAACGTGACGTTTGACCTCCTCTCATTGATGGCAGACAGACGAGAGGAGTGTGAACACGGTCACACAAGAAAAGTGAATATTTGGGGGAATTTTTAAAAAAAATTTAGAAGGCTGTTCAACCAGGAAACATTAGTTTTCTACTGATGATGACAACCCGATAAGACGAGAACTATAAGAACACATGAATGAGATGTGGTGTGAAGATATGTGTTATTATTTATTGAAGAATCAGTACTTTATATGTATTTATTACTTTGAATTGTTTTATTGAAAAGGGATCAGTATTATATTAGTTATCAGTGAAGTTCATACTGTTGATCCCTGACTGGTGTTAAGACGCATGTTTAAGTTGTGCGTCAGCAATGACGTCATTGATGGAGAGAGATGAGAGTAGTGTTCAAAAAGTGTTTTCTTTTACACCGAACGAGTGCACTATGTAGTCCACTACAGAGAACTCCCTATGTAGGCAGTAGGAGAAGGAGTGTGTGATTTCAGACACAACCAATTTAAGATGAGTCAAAGATAAGTAAGAGTTCTTCTTCAGCTTGAAAACTCTCCTGCTTGAATCATTGGTATAAAACACGACCAAATGTAAATACCTGGTACAAGAGAAGCCTGTGTACATATAAACAAAATTAGAACATTCACCTACGACTCCCAGAGGTGCAAATCTGCAAGAACGATACAATTTATGAAACTCAAATTTCTGGTTCATTACATTTAGAGCTGTATATACCATGCAAACCATGACCAACACACCTTAGAAAGGACAAGACACTTGAATGGTCATAAATGTTATTCATTCTGTAAATAATTGTATTCATATATAAAAGGTACTATTGCATGCAGGTAAGAACCGAGTTGTTTCAAGTAACATCATTCATGTAATTATTAACAGCTGTGCTTTTGTTTGAATGAAATGTCAAATCTGCCAACTTAGAAAAAGAACTATTACTAACGCTGACAGTTATGGAGTTGATTTCATACAGTTTGGTTTGAGACTTTGGTATGTATAAATATTTTGCAGCCGTACGTCTTTCTCCAAGTGTTCTAACAATGACTTTCTTTTCTCCATGCATAACGTCTTTCTGTTACTCAGTCTGTAGTCTCCATTTTGGTCATGAAATTTCATAGGTACTTTGAGAAATACATGCGGTAAATGGCAAACAGAAAATATACTCTTTTACCGCAGAAATAAAATGTAGCCTGGTCAGTGAACCACAGCATTAAGGGGGCAATAAATTGACTGCTGGGATGCATGGGGGAAGATTTATGAACTCATTTCACATAGAAAACAATAAGGCATTCATGGTTAAATTCCAGTAGCGACTGACATTACGGTACCATAAGGAAGTGTAGCTGTAGAGGGGATTCTTAGAAAAGGTTGTACTGTTCACTTTTTGTGGAGTTTCCTTGGAGAAATAACGATGCTGATTCTACTTCAATAGCTGCTCACCTCTTCCTTCCTGCTGAACCCCTTCTATTACTTAAACATCTGCTTCAGATGGTCTGCTATATTGGCAAAGACATCCCAGCATCCTTTAATTATTCCATAAAACACAGAGCAAGCTTGATACCACTGCTGTTTTCATTAGCGCAAACCCCATTATGAGTGTGGAATAAAGCTGGGTCAATACAAAGCAGTGAAGGGATGAGATTCATTGACACACATACCGCAGTCAAAGATCCAGTGGCAATTACTGCGGCTATCGATTGCCGTGTTTATAATGCATCGCTGGGAGAAATATGTGAACAAAACCATATTTTACAAAGATTTTTGCTGAATTTTCTTTCTGTCGTATAAACTGCTGCAACCAACCACGCAGGTTCTTACGAGCGAATCGGAGGGAGGAAGAAGTGGTCAGAACCCTGGACAGCTCCTGTGAGATGCAGAAAAACCACAACAACATAATTCTTCAAATGCTACACATGCTGCTACTACTACTACTACTTCTCTCTCCATACTTCTTCCTCCATTACTACCACTGGACCCTAAGAAGAATAGCTGAGCTCTCGGGTACAGCTAATGGGGATCCTAACAAATAAACAAATAAACAGTGCTACTCCTACTTCATTTACAACTCTTACTACAAATGCTCCTTTTTATCAGTTGTTGCACAACTCTGAATTTGCACAGCTCTGGATTGGCACAGTTCTCTAGAACGTTACTGAACATTTACAACTTTCATCACTGTTTTTGCAGATTTACATCTCTTACCTCAAGCTTATTCTTATTTTTTAAATATTTTTCGGGCTTATATATTTTGTATCTATATGTGTGTGTGTGTATATATATATATATTATATTGTTTTATTTGCTTTGATAACCTGCTGCTGTAACACCACAATTTCTCAGTTTGGGATCAATCAGGTAAATCTATCTATCTATCTATCTATCTATCTATCTATCTATCTATCCATCCATCCATCCATCCACCAAACATCAATCTCCTACTCTTATGTACTCTTACTAGTACTCCTACAACTCCTCCTTCCTCTACTCCTATAACTACATGTACTGTACTACTACACCACTACTTCTATATTCTAAGCACTACTTACATTACACTTCTACATCTCCTACTTCTACACACATTTTAAGATAACTACTACTACTCCTCCACAAACGATCCTTATCCATGTCGTGCCTGATATTGTAGTACTTTCTGTGAGCCTCTCAACCATTTGGTGCATTTACACAGTGTGAGGAGGAGTCATCAATCATTATCATTCAAGCTGAACTTCACCACTTCGTGCCCTCAATTTAGGAGCCACTGGCTTGTTAAGTTAAAGCTGCAACAGAAGCGCACTTAACTTTTATTATTTTCTCCTTGTCATGAAATTGTAATGCCTTCATACTGCAATTTGCCCGACTTTCCTCTTAGAGAGAGAGCAGAGGAACACTGGGAGTTGTGCTGATATCTGATTTGAGGTATTGCTACACTAATGATGTAACTTTGGTACAGACAAAGAGAAATTGCTCTTTCGGAATGTGGACAAACAAAACAGGTACATTGATTTGTGATAACTTCATTTCACTTGCAGTCTAGACAAAAAGAAAAATATTGACTGCCAGTTCTGCTCAATTTGTTTCTTGCAGTCTGGACAAAAGCTTTATTTGACTATGAAGTGAAAGAATTCCACATTTTATGACCTCACCTTAGCAGTAGATCTTAAATAGAAAGCAAGTTAATCAGTTTTTCTTCTGCACTGAAACACAGGCTACTGAGGTTAATTCAGGTGCATTCGCAAAGACGTTTCAATAATGCATGAAACGCCAAATCCCACGGGAGGTTTCATTCCACAGGACGGCCTCCACAAGCAGGGAGACTGGTTTCTCCCACGGTGGCCCATGCAAAGAGAAGTGAAATCTCTGGTGGCAGAATTAAGACATCACCCCATCTGATACTTTAATTTAAGCTAACACTGCTGTCTCTATTGTCATGTCACAGTCTTTAACCTGTCCTTTAACTCAGTGCAGCTATGCTTGTGTGTGTTTCCTGCAAGTGTGTGTGTGTGTGTGTGTGTGTGTGGTATAGCCTACACGTCTGCCCTTTTTTTCCCTTTGGCTCAGAGTGTAGCAACAAGGAGGACAGTCTGTTTCCTGTTGTGATGGAGGATATGGACAGAGGGCACAGCCCAGCGAGAAAAAAAAAATGCTGACTCAGTTTATCAATCTAGCTTTCTGCAAGAGTAAGTGCAACTGGACACGACTGAAGAAATGCACAAGTCTGCTCATTTAATCTTTGCTCCCTGCCTAGATTTTTTCACAAACTGTATAGGCCACACAGCTCCAAAGATCCAAACATCTAACTCTCCTTGTTGTGTTTTTAGCTCTAAAAAGATAAATCCATTCCTGTACTTTCAAATACAGTACCACCGTGTATCATAAAGTCTTCTTGGGCACTATTCCCCAAAGACGTTTTTTTTTTTTTTCCCCGAGCCTCTTTCCAAAAAGCACTGCTCAATGTAATTACAAACCCATTATTTGCTTTTTTTTTATGCTGTAACATATTGAGTAGGGTTAAGTATTGAAGAAAAGCCTTCCAGCACTTCATCTCTTCGCCACTCTTATTACACCTTTAGGAAAAAGAAACAGAGTGTGAGGCATTGAAGAAAATGGCTATTTCCTCCAGAAGAAATTCAGAGGTAATTAGAAGGTGGTCCAAGGTGTGTGATTGATGGCATGTTTTCAAGTGTTTAAAGGTATGTGTACTTGAGATTACACTCCATGAAA